GTTTTGCAGAATTTCTTCGCAATATGCTTACTTGTTTTCTCAAAAAATGTCAAATATTTGGAGACTTGAAGATGAAAAAATTATTTCTAAAAAAAACATGTTTTTACTTTTTAAAGATAAAAAGTAATCTTTGTTATTCATATTTCTTTCCTGTTTTTGTAAATAAAATATTGTTTTGTAAACCGATTTTTGACAAAAACAAACGAGTTCTTCGCTTCGTGTATTTTTTCCAACACGTCTTTTTTCTATCTAATTTTGGTTCGAATTCACGGGTTTTTAAAAAGCTCAAATAGCACTCGCCCTATCGGGCTCGTGCAATTTTAAACTTTTTGAAAACCCGATCGTGCAAATTTATTCCAGAGTGCACGAAAATACCATGCGATTTCCTATACAAAGTGAAAGACAAGGTCTTTATACAATAACATCTCTCAACAACGCAAATTTAAGCTCTTTTCATATAATCATACTAGCTCGAACAGCTTCATAAACAGTTGAATATCTGGTGTAATTTTACATTTCATTCAATATATAAATAAATTATCTGTACAAAGATATGCTGAAAATTATTGAATGAAAGTCTTCAGCCTTGTTTTGCCGATGGGACCCGCGACAGAGACAAACAAMGCTGTATTTTTCTTGAACGAAAAACACACGATAGATGGATAAAAACAACCGAATTTTTATTGATTTACAAAGCTAAATAATGGACTAATATTTGTTGTAATATGCTCTTCGTTTCATATTTCATCCAGCATTAAAATAAATTAAGCTTATCTTTAGAAATACTGTATTAAAAGTTTTGAGAGAAAGTCTTTGATTTGTCGATTCGTCGAAACAAATGCTTGTCATAAAAAATAATAATAAACGCATTGTTTGCTTAAAAAAAACACACCTGAATTCTTGAAGAACACTTCTTGATCCATCTTTGACTACAAGGAAGTTGTTTTCATTTGCTGTTGGTCTATAATTCGTCCTAAAGCAATTTTTCTGTGCATTTGAAGCCGCATTTGCGAGTAGCTTTGTTTTGATATCAAGCGGGATTCCTGTGTTGTGTATACGGACGCCGTACGACGTTCGTACGTACGTGCGTACGGAAGTGACGTCAGCCAAGCTATAAAAAATGAACTGGATGGTTTACCATTTTTTCTTAAGTATCGTGCTCCGCTCGCTCGGGCCTTGGGCCCGCGAGGAAGCTCCGCTATAATATATTTTCATAGCTCAAGTTATATATATTTTATATATATAAGAGAGAGATATTAATAWATTAATGAAAAAGAGCCTTGGGTAGCCTGCGTTTTTTGACACCTTAGGTGTGAAAGTTCTCACATTTGACACGCAATTTGAAAGGAAATTTTATGTATATATTTATTGTGAAGTACTATTTTAGGTGTATAGGTTGCTATCAATAGACGTCACTTCCGGTAATAGCACTTTTTTGATGGCTTGTAGAATCCTGGAGGTTATTTTGATCTCTTGTTTTCTGGTTTGATGTCGTGAAAATAGTCAAATACAATAGTTTGAGGACTTATTTTGATATGTTTTGACTTAGCATCCGCTAGTTGCCCCCCAGTCAACTCCAAAAAGTCACGTGATTGATAGTAAGCAATTGGATACAGTGTAAAAACATTTTGTAGAAGTGACAGCCACTTTACCCAGTTCTAATACCTTAAAACAGCTAAATTAGAAGTGACGCTAATAATATTTTACAAACTACTGGGCAGCAAAATATTTCACAAATTATTTTGTTGTACATATTTGCTTTGATCCCGTTATATGGTTTTCGAAATCGTCTTTCTACAGCGCAGCGCATGCTTAAGGTGGCTCGACTGGGTTTTGTTTGTGGCGTACCTTCGAAGTTTGAAGGGGAAATGCGTCGCTGCCAATAAGTTAATTTCAAATAAATTATTATGACATGTCTAGAGATAGATTCAAGTTTTACATGATATAAAATTTATCATGATCGGAGTTACCATAGCAAT